CAAGGCATGCCGGGGGGCCATTTCAAATGCGCCAAATTAAAATACTTGGTCCAGGCGTGGCTGGATGCTTGGATGATTGGAAGAGAGGGCATTGATCTGCAAACAGAGTGCAATCACTCAGCTCCCTCTCTGAGTGTATTAGTCTTTGCCGGTCCAGCTGTGGAGTCCAGAGTATTGCAGTGGTAATGAGAGTAGCACATGAATGCATACAGTGCACACACATGCGCGGTTCTGAAACTTTACTCTGCGGACTGTAGGGGGATCTCAACCCAAGCGTGACTGTCCAAACAACACGTCCAGACTTGAAAAACGCTGCCATTCTTGCCTGTTTACATCATTGGCCTCCACCACACACACACACACACACACACACACACACACACACACACATACACACACACGTTCTATTGCACACATGTTCTCACACACTGAGTAATGTGCCGAAATAATATGCTGCTGAGCTATAAATCTGCAGGCACCGGTCATCGTCTGCTGTTGTTGTTAGTCTAGCCGTAAGTCTCCCATATCCTGCCATGAAGAGGGCCCTTCAAGACGGCAATGATTCAAAGTCAAGTGGACCGGCTCGGTTGTAAACGCCCCGGTTTTGCCAAGGAGCACATGTGTGATCGGGGTGACAATGACTGTTATCCGGCGGCTCAGCAAAAAATGAAGTCAAGAGGAATTTATTTCCAAACTATCTTCAGCAAACCAGCTTACCTTGAACGCCTTAAGGAGAACAAAAGTGACAAAAAAATAATATAAATCTGAGAATAAGCAAGCAGCACAAACGTCAAGATTTGGTACCTGAGCTTCTGTGTATGCCTAGGTGTGTGTGTGAGGAGTAGCAAACAAAGGGCCTCTCCTTTTCCCTTTCTAGAGGTGTCTAATCTCCATTACAGGCAGAGGAATGACTACAATAAAGACCTTAAGAGGATAAGTATGGTAAGCAAAATAAAACGAAGTGGAGTGAAACCACACAAAATGCCTCAAAAGACAGAAAAAGTTCGTCCTGTCCCGAATTCTGTTTGCAGACAAAAAGATATTGCTATTCTGCTCATTACCTGAAAAGTGTCTCCCTCTTCTTCAGGCCATGTAGGGCCCCCAGTGGCCCCCATGTTCCTGTCTGCTCACCGGTCATCCTGTCTGAGTGTGGTCACACAAGCAGGGGAGGGGACACAGGGACAAGGCCTCAGAGTGTCCTTGCTGGATAGACGTCCGAACGCACTCGATGGATTGCAGTTCTGTCTCTGCAATTCATTTCATTTTCTGTCCTTATTTGTTTAAGGGCAAGGAGACAGACTTTTAAGTGCTGCTGCCAGGCCCCGTCCCCATCTTTTCTCTCCCACAGTCTCCCCTGTCTTGGCTCTTAAATGTCTTGCACATATAGAGTTGTGGGACGTCCAGGGTGGGCCCTGGAGGCTGCTGGGTTGTGGGCTGGAGTCTCCCACTAATCCGTTGGAGTTTAATGACGACAGGCCATGTTAGTGGTGGTGAAGCCCTGGGGGGTTGACCCACGTCAGGAGGGGCTGGGCATGTGACCCACACCAGGCTAAGAACCCAACTTGTTGGGGGAGGGTGTGCGTTTGGAGGAGTGGATATAAACGTGTGTGTACACCTATGTCTGGAGCTAAATGGCCAGCCACTTAAGGAATGCAGGCTTTCTGATCTCAGCCGTGAAAACACAAGCAAATTGAGCTTTTTGGTGGGTGAAAGTAGAAAAAGAAAAGCCAGTTGTTCCAGTTTTGCAGATTCCCGCATTACATTCAAACCCTGCCAAAAAGTATAAGTGTTACAGGGGCGTACAGAGGCAAACACAGACACAAACAAAGGCTGCAAAGGAGTTGAGATTCCCCGGAGCTCGTCTGGCTCCGGGAGTGGCTGTCTGATCTTTTCTGTTTGGTGTGGGTGTTCATGTGTGTGTTTCTGTGTGTAAGTGCAGCTCTAACAAGCAGCTCATTACCTTTGTCTCATATCATCACAGAACACCTCTCTCTCCCGGTGCAACAACCCCCCTCCCCCCCCAAAAAAGGCATTTAGTTCAATCAGACTGGACCCTATTTTTGGCAAGGTCTGAAAAATCCATTTAAAACACTCATTTGCATATGTGTTTGATATCTTTGCTATAATGTTTGGCTGGCTTTTATCATTCAATTTGGTGCGCCTGTTATGAGCCTGATTCCACTTCCGTGGTCATGATTCAAAGCGCAGCCTCAATTAATTAGCAATACGCAAATCAATTGTTGCCTGAGGTCAAACAGATCCACAGTCTATTTCAAAGATTGGATGTTCACTTAACATGATTTGCGGGTGTTATCTCAAAAGACACATTGATGAACTGAAGGGTCTATTCCCCTAATGTGCAACAAATACACTTAAATCAATCAGGAGATATGGGGTGAAGGTCTTGCAGAACACGAGCAGCAGAGACATGAATTACTGTCGTCTGTTAGTTGACAGTAAGGGCGCATGCAGGAAGTGGTGCATGTGGATGAGGTATATCCATAAGCCAATAACTGAAAACAGCAAAGCAAGCAGCCCACACAAGTGGGGCAAAGGTTCATAGGAAGGCACTTCTCAGTAGCCTGATGACCGAGTTACTGTCTCTCTCTTTTTTTTTTTTTGCTGGCTTGTAAGTTGCTAATTAAAGTGACCTCACTGATGTCCCATCTGCCACCAGGGCACAGAGCCTCCGATTGTTGGCTGCCATGTAAGCATGTTAATCCGCTGAAGGACCAGGTACACGTAAAACACACTCCAAACACACACACACACACACACAGGTTGTACTGTGCAGAGGCTTGCTCGGTACGATCACTCATTCACATTCAGATTCAGCACTCAGCAGCGCTTAAACAAAGATTAAGACTTTGACAGTGAGACTAAAATCCTGTTAGCGTGTTTGTGTGGAGGTGGAGGGAGATATCTTTGTGAGTTGAGGAAGGAAAGCAGCTGAGCCCTGTCTTCCCCCAGGAGTCCCAAAACCATTGGCGACGCGGCGCACGGAAATTACAGCAATCCAGCATGATGACAATGAGCTACGCTGCCGGAATGACAACAGTTGAGTGAGGTTGCAAGGTTGGGTGAACTCGCCCCCTTCGATAAGCACTTTTTGTGGACATAATGGAATCTTTGTCCATATTGCAGATATAGAACAGTCTCAGTAAAGGACCAGCAGCTGCCTGGTACCCAATGAGACCCATCCATCTGGGCGACCCAGGCCATGGCAACAAATTCATCTGTCTACCATGGGGACCTGTGCAGGATCCAATCAGGGACAAGCTTTATACTGTATATTTCCCACCTAATAGAATTGCAGTACATTCTCTTGCTCTGGCTGCAAGGCATCAACTCTCATATTGCTGCTCCCTTATCTACTAATTCACTGCTATATCCGCCCCTTTTTAAGAATCTTACTTGAGGAGGGAGAGTACTGTATCTCCACAAATATTATCACTTTTTCCTGGCAATGTGTGTGGGAAACACATTCAGTCTACACACGGGTCAGACAGGGAGATTCTTCTGTTCCAACCACCAACACTGCACAGTAAAAACCCAAACGGAAGACGTGGACAGGTGCAGTCAGCTATGTTGGAAATTGGTTCAGACAGGTTTATACAGGATTTCGTGATGATTTATATACCTCCGACTGAACAGGAAGTCATATTATACTAACTGGAAACTACCTATAAACCATCATTTCAAAGGTCATATCCTGAATGTACTTCCACACAAGAGAAAATTGGGGGTAAATGCCCTAAAAAACAGCTAAACGACCCTTGAGCAAGACACACAACCTCTGTGGTAAAAGCTGAGTTGCTCTCTAGTCATCTGTAAAAGGCTGTGGATGTATCTGGGCTGTATGAGTGCGGTGTGGGGAATTGCGTTCATAAAAGGGATGTTAAGAAGCTGAATATAACTGAGAAACACCAGTGAGTTAAATTCAGCGACATCAATGGAACAATATGTGATAAATCTTTGGAATGGCTCTTAAATATTTTATTCTTCCCCTGGCGGTGACTCTGCCCTCATCTGCACTATAGCACAGGGACCATTAAAATGTTAGGGATTTTCTCCACCAACTTAATGAGAAGATAAGCAGTTAATGTGAACTCTTTTTTTGGGGGGGGATAAGTAAAGCACTGAATGCCTATCGCCTAATTAAGGCATCAACTCAGCTCCAACTCTTGATTTGCCGTCCCGCTCTGTCACACCTCAATGGCTGTGAGGTGGGGGGACAAGTTCATGAAACAGAGGTTACTAAAGTTATGACAAGAGCATTATTTGAGCGCTTCATGCTTTATAAGTTCTCTTTTTCACAGCAAAAGCAATGTCTCAAACCATCTTTTTGCTGATGACAAGGTCAAGTGAGCGAGTGAAATATCACAAAAGTACTCAGACAAAATGGCAAGAACAAAGAAAGGAAGAAATGGCAAGAGCATGAACGCCATATTGATTCTTAAGGTTACGAATACAAAGCGCTGATTGCAGTTTAATCGCTGCCAAAAATCAATTACTTTGATTGAAAGTGACAGAAACATTTGAGATTAAAACACATTACTTCTGTGTGAGTATGCCACATGTCCTGGGTTTTTCCCTGTTTCTGACTTATCTGTTCCATATTTGACACAAAAAGTAAAATTTTTTTGCCTTTATTTAACAGATGAAAGAAAGAGTCATGGTTGCCGCCAAAACCCCTAGGCCACCAGGGCCCTCATTAGTTGTATTATTTTTTCTTTATGCAGGTTTATGTACTTTCTAGATTGCAATGGCCTGGAATCCATGTAACTGTTAACTTAATAGGCAAAATACCAAAAAACAAATAATAACCAAATAATTAGGGGGGAGGGGAGTCCAAATGAAATGCTTGGCTGGGCTACCTGCCTGTCTACCTACCTACCTGTGCACAGTCTGCCCATGTATGAGGGTGAAAAACAGTATTTAAGGGTCACTGTAGTCCTACAATAATGTCAAATACACCTTTAGCTTTCGGGCCCTTTTACCTGGAGAATTGCTGCTGCAGTGAGACCATCTGCGCCCGTCCCACCTCGGACTCCTCTGTCACTTCCCGGAGACGCTTCTCGCTCTCCAGACGCAAACGTCGCTCTTCCTCTAGCTCGTGGATCAGCTTTTCTCGCTGTGGACACAAAAATAAGAACGGTTATCTCTCAGTGGTGGTGTGGCCTAAAGCCTAAAAAAAAGAAAGGCCGTGCCATATAAGTCACATGCCATATTTGAGTACAAGTCTCTGAACGCCTCACAGCTCCAGGAATGCCATTTTTGCTGCAGACCATGACCTCTGTCCCTCCTTGAAAAAAGGGGAAGTGAAAACAAAATCTTTCAACACCTTGACTATCAAAACATCTGTGATTTCTTTTTTAAAAGCCCCCAAACATCCTTCTTTTGTCTAATATCCAACACAGGTCATCCTGGTTAGAAATTCAACTTTTTTTTTTTCATGCTTTAAGGGGGAAAGAAAATAAGAGAATAAGGGCATGATGACATTTTAAGATCCCAGATTGGCATTCGTTCTGTAGTTTGTGGTTACTTTGAAATGTTCATAATGAACCTCCCTTGCCCTCTATCGCTATGACAGAAAGTTCATGCTAAATGTCAAACAACATCACCGAGCCTGGTCTTGCATTGCCTCCATCTTTCTCTGCGCTTTTACTTTTCATTTCATTTCAGTGCTGTGTTCCCACATTTAGGTGCATATTAACGTCATCAAGGTCCCGCAGCGTTTCCTTTGTTAGCCTATGCTAAGAAAATGCTCACCAACGGTAGTGTAACTATGAATAGCTATATGAGTAACGTTAGCCCCCACAAACAACAACTGTGCTCTGTTCTTGGATGTTTTATTTATGTTTACAGTGTTGTTGCTTGGCAACATTGCAAAACTGTATGAGTACATATGACTTAACTTTCGGTTTAGAATTCAAAAGCTAGAGCTCATCAGTGAGAGACAGGTGGCAGAACTGAAGAGGTCACTATGACTGTTTAAATTTAAGCTCATTGACTTGCATCGCCATCATGGAGGTAAAGCCTAGTCATTATGGATTTATTCTCTGAAGTTTGGTGTGAGTTAACCCGTTCATCCTCATGAAGAACTTTCAAAGTCTGTGATGTGTAAGGTCTCCGCAGATCACATAACCATTTTTATCTGTCCCTTTTCACTAGAGACACTTCCAAAATGAATACTTTTTTTCTTTAATTGGATTCTTCTCTGTCTGACGGCCTTAGCCATCTGCTCGCAAACGAGAGAACCGTCCTCTCCTCAAACCCAACTTAAAAGGCTGCGTGGCCCTCCCTCCTTGAGAGGGGAAATGTTGGCATGTGTGAGTGAGTTTTTCAGTGGCAAAGTTGCAAAGGAGCTCTGAGCAACTGCCACCAGCAAAGCTGAGGATTTTAGCTGACAGAGCAAACGAGTGAGGATCGTTCTCTTAGTCTCGCAGCCTCTACACAAATCTTCTGCCACTGACAATTTATGACAAAGCAATTGGCTACATTTTCTTAGCTGAAGGTTTTAAGTGATCAACCATCTGTCACTATCTTGTCAGGAATACCAACCGAAGAGACAATATTGTAAAATAACTGGAAATTGGTTTAAGGCTAAAGAGACTAACTGGATTGCCATCTGGGGGGAGAAAAGGAAAAAGTTTTTTCTTTTGCAAATCAAGTTGCAGTTATTGCTGCATAAGAGATCTGAATTTGACGTGCACTTCATCTTCTTTTTTTGGCTTAGCAAAGAGACATTTTTCGCCCCCAAAAAAGTGTCGCTGTCTGCAAAACAGTCATTCTCTGGTTGTAAATTCAGGACCCTGTCACTCTTTGGTCAATTATTATATATCATTATCGGCCTTGAAAGGAGAGATCAGTAACTACCACAGAAGATGAATATATAGAATATGTCTGTCCAGACCATAGACTATAGTCTGGACTGTAGAAAAAGTCAGATGCCTGTTTAGTAGGCAATACAGAGTTAACTTTTTTCTGACCCTAGAGCTTGTTTTAAGTCTTCTTCTCAATGTTAAGCACCAATCATGGTATGTCATTATTCAGTGTAACTACAGAGATGTTGAAGGGCTTTTTCCCAGACAAGCATTATAGGGACATCTAGTGGTGTGAAAGGGATACTGACTGGAGAATGTACTCGGGCAAAAAAAAAGGCAAACAGATAAAAACATCCTGAAGATCACGTTTTGTCTTTTTGTTCAGTGTATCATCAACATGTGCAGCCATGATTGAAAGCTAAAATATAAAATTTAAATTGCAGAGTAAAATATCAAAACAACTGGAAAGCATGCCTGTAAATGACCTAACATTTTAGAAAATTGCCATTTTTACTGTGACCACATTGTCTTGAATGCAACCAACCATAATTCATTACAGTATATTGTTGCTTGGCAGGAATCCTGTCACAAAAGCAGATTTTAACTGGGTGAATCGGCCGGGGGGGAGAGAATATTAAACCCAAGTCACCATTAAAACCAGTTCTGGTCCTCGCTGTGGCCATAAATTCATGGTTACTATGTGGAGCGGCTCTTTACACAACAGGGAGGCTCTCCCTGTCAGGAGTAATGGCTGCTGTAAATCCAGCTGTACAGAAGCATAAAGTAGTACATCCCCCTGCCAAGAGCTGGACCTATATATCTGGACCAAAACCAATGGATTTCTGGCTCTTCTTCACCCTCTCTCTCTTTAAGGAAAAATGGGCTAAGACAGAAAGGCAACATGTAGAGGAGGTCATCCCTACAGCATGTTGCAAGCATATTACTAATATTTACTTACATGGCAGGCAAAGTGCAAAGAAAATTTTTTTTCCTTAAGCCGCAAGGATGGAAATATGTTTTTAATGATACACACATGGAAAAAAGCTGCTAATTACAAGTGGAACCTCCAGCATCCAGTAGTTTAGCTGAATTTCACCTCAGTGCAAACATGCACAAAGGCCTTTTCTTTGCGGCACCACACGTATGTGTACAGTACTGTTCAGCGAGTTTGGGCTGGATTCTCGCAAAAGCACAGTAGCTTTAGTTCAGATTTTTGTTGCCCACATGGCCTAACTAACGCCCCAGGCATAAACCACTGAACACTATGTGTCTGCTGACAAGAGTCTTGCCAACAACCTCAATAACAACACAGGATTTATGATCTACATTGTAGTAAAAAGCCCTCTATTGCTTTTGTTCGATATATAATTTCAGCAATTTAACAAGGCCTAAAGCCATTAAATCAAACATTACCATATCTTTATGTGGCCAGAAATCCCTAGCAATACATTACGCTTTTTCTCGGTTGAAATGTTTATTGTCTCAATGGCTTTTTTTTCTGTGGTAAAGAGTATGCTAATTGAAAGCATACTCTTTAATAAGCCTTAGCTCCAGCTCCAAAGGCAACACGTCTTTAGCATTGCCATGGGAAGATATCCCAAAGTCAACACTGAGACGGGATGTTTGGCAACTTTCTGTGAGAACATTTACTTTAGTTAATCCAACGATTGAGGACATAATCCTCTCACTTGACTGACTGTCATGGCCCTGGCTGGATGAGATGCACTACCCTGTTTCTCCTGTGGAGGGCAACATTTTCCTGGAATAAAACTGGCAGATCCAGCTCAAACAAAGCCAGCCCTGACAAACAATAAAGTGGTTGGAAAAAGCAATAGCAAATGGAATAGGCCAAGTAATCTATAAAATGGCCCAGGCAGGGTTTAATACCAGTCTACTGAGCCATATATCTGAAACAAGCCCAGATAGGGTGTTTCAGGATTAAATTTGACCTCTGTCACAGGCGAGGATACTTTCATTTCCTGGTTGAAATAAAAAATGTATCCATCTAGATATGACAGAATTTATCACCATCAACATGTATCTCATCAAGCACAGACTGAACGGACTGCGAAACGCTATTGATTTCAATACACTAAATGTATTGAAAAAAACAAAATATCAGGAATAAAAGAAATGGCAAACACCTCATTTATGTGTGCAGTTTTGTCGCACACTAGGTAGTACTGCTTCCCAGAGAGCTTTCTCCCTATACTTATATATCGAGTCATGTGTCTAAAATTATATTAGTTGCAGTGGAGCCCAGAATGAAGCCTGCCCCTGTAATTGGACAGCATTAGATGGTAATGGTATTCATCCGAGCTGAATTAGTAGAAGACTCGAACCCCCCTGATACCGTCCAATATCCACAGAGGACTTTAAATTAATTAGAGACCTCTGCCTCTCGTTGTTGTGCCTGCGATGCTGTCTCCCATAAAAAAAAGCTGCAGTGTAATGCTATCAGGTTAAGTGCATGTGCGCGGCGTGCGTAGCCATCACCGTGGCTCTGATTCTGTAGGTTGTCCATCTGTAACTGTATGTGCATGTATGTGTGCGTGTCCATGCAGGGTTTGGGGTACAGTTCAGGGGGCTCAATAATCTCTTCATTACACAGAAACCCCCCTCGGATGCAGCTCTTTGCCTAATCAAAGGGCTGGGAGCGGATCTCTGGCTCGCTGCTAAAGCAAACATCAGGGACACAATACACAGCGCAGGTTCTTCATTCATAAATAAAACATGCCACTTGGCTGTTTGTGTGTGCATGTGTGTGAGTGCGTGTGTGTGTGTGTGCTCGTCAGCAAGCCAGATTTCAAATGAAAGTGTAACATGAGGAGGATTTGACTGCATGGCACACATAATGTACGCTATACTAAAGACAAACCCAAATCATTAAGACAAACTGTGCACTTATTTTGAAAAGTTAAAAAAAGTGCATTTAAATGAAAAAGTATTCCCAGGATATAATATCACTGATGGTTTACATTGTTGTGCAGCTGACAAAGAGTTCCGAATATAATAAAAAATTAGGGGAAATGTTTGACTGGAACATATGTTTTCGGAGATGACTTGTTATAGAAATTAGGTTGAGTTTAAGCAGTGTTTTATTCACAAAAAATCTCTGTCCTGTGTTCCCCCGGGCCCCATCAATTCAATTATTATGGAGAGCCACTACATTAGAGTGTACCACTTCTCTCTTAGACAGCCGCGGGCACTATAGCAAATAATACACACACCCCAGGAATATGCTAAATCATACGAGTGGCCCATTTATCATTGCCAAGGGAGCTCCCCCACCCCACCCACGCAGTCC